TCTCTCACTCTCATACTTTCTTTCTCGCTCGCTCCCTGCTATAGTCACTCAGCATTAGACAGCAAGTATAAATTCCAGCGTGCGGGCACACATCAAAGTCTACGTTACAAGCTATTATGCGGTTACTTTCACGATGGTGGGAAATCACGAAGCGATCTCCCGAGGCAAATCCTACAAACCTGCAGCCTATAACCGGCATAACGGCATAACCTAACCTTGCTTACTACCTGCATTTGTCAGTGGGTCAAACGTTTCACTTGAGTACCTAGACTAATCTACTATCTATTGCCTCGCGCTACTATATATCCACGCGCTCCTATTCTACAACCGGCTCGCGCGAAAATGCTGAAACTTGCTTCGTCAGACGGCTGAAGTATGAACAGCAATGATGTGCAATAATCATGTCACGAATTAATCGGTATTTTTTTCTCCGTCTGATCTCACATTCTGCCTGAGAACTCTATATATACGTGCTAATAACGTTAACCTCAGTTAGATCTAACTGAGATTAACGTTATTAGCATGTAAATTATAGAGATCCGATGAAGTTATTTAATCATGTATATATACGAGCTGTGAATTTCGCATGCACTGCCAATTTCACCTATCCGTTTGGGAGAGATAGAGAAAACCACAACCCACCCCCCTTTAATGTTGTTCCGAAGTCAGTCAAGCTCACTCTTTACGTTTTTACTTAGTTTCACACTTAGTTGCTAGGCATTCTTTCTACGACGCTCTATCGCGACGATGATTGGTTTAATGTTGCGCTGCCTGTCAGTAATGCTGCCAGGTGGACAGGTAAATTTATAGGAAAAGCCCAATTTTAGATTTTTTTTTACATTACACAGAAAAAATCACTTCGGCAATCAAAGATGGTTTCACTGCATGCTGCTGGTATACATGTCCGTCTGTCTGTCTTTCTACCTGTGTGCGCGCGTGCGCGTGTGCATGAGTGCGTGCGTGCGTGTGTGCGTGCGTGTCTGTGAATGCGTGCGTGCGTGTCCGTCTGTGTGTGTGCGTATCTGCCAGACTGCCAGTGTATGCGTATCTTTGTTTCTTACATGCACACACAGTACAAAAAGTTCATATCTAAAAACACGTACTATAAACCTAAAGTGTTTTATTGTTAATTATATAAATGTTTTAGGATACTGAAACCGGATGTATCTTAATTGCGCCATTTAACCTCATCAGTCACTGTTTACATGTAATGTCTATAGCACTTCTTATGTATAATTATTATAGTCAAGAACGTGTTTTTCTCTATGAGAAACTCATGCAGTTGCTTAGTTATAGGTCATACGAATACATTAATAACCTCTGTCTCTCTCTCTATATATATATGTATATACATATATATATATATATAGAGAGAGAGAGAGAGAGAGAGAGAGAGAGAGAGAGAGAGAGAGAGAGAGAGAGAGAGAGAGAGAGAAGAGAGAGAGAGAGAGAGAGAGAGAGAGAGAGAGAGAGAGAGAGAGAGAGAGAGAGAGAGAGAGAGAGAGAGAG